TCTGCCCGCTCCGAGGCAGGGCTGGGGACGTTGCTGTCGGCTGGTGCGTGCCAGAGCACGTGCAGGGCGAGCTGTTGTGCTCTCTGCAGCGCACAGGAGACAGATGGTGAAGCCCACCCATCCTGGAGGGTGCCTGCAGAGAGCAGGGTTGCTGCAGTGCTGTAACATCCTTACATTTCAGGGAACTGGCTGGTGTCAGAAGGGGCATTTTACCAGTAATCTCTGCCAGCACCTCTTTGTGCCACAGCTGCCTGCACAGCTTCTGGCACGGCACTGATGGACACTGGGTGCTGCTCTGGCCCGACCAGCCCTGCCATTTAGTGTGAAAACTTGATTATAGGGAAGAAAGCCAAATAATCTTGGCTACTGGAGTGTTCTCAGGAGAGGAGAACCTGTGGAGTGATGTTCTTACCCCTTCCAAAATTGCAGCAAACCCTCTGCGTTAGCACGGTATGGGCAGAGCTTCTCCTGGTTGGGAGCTGGGGATGGATGGGCACAGGCAGATCAGATTAATGGAGATGTCTTCCCTACCCTAGATGGACAACATTTATTTAGTGGGGCTTGTGACAAGCCAGTGAAGCCCTGTGTGATTTTGCAGAAGCCATGAGGAACCCTGGGGATGTTCAGAAATGCTCAGCTTCCCACCAATTTGCTGCAGCCACCAGCACTTTTGTGTTGACCTTGGTGACAGCAGCAGCCTCACAAATGAAAGGGACGTGCATCACTAAGAGGAGAATTAAATTTGCAATGAATTCCTTGTATACCATTTTCTGTTACTGCCGTTTTTATCTGTCCCAGCTCATCCTCGTGTCCCTGGAAAGCCTGCCCTAGTGTTCCATTTCCTGCAGCGGGAATGGTGCCTGCACTCACAGCAGGGGTGGCTTTCTCCAGCTCTTTTTGTCAAATGCTGTTGTGGACCCCCTGAGCTCCTTGTTCCTTTGCCAGTGGTGGGGAGTGTGCAGCTTGCTGATGTGGAGTCTTCCACCTCCTTCTCTGACCAAGAAATCAGCTCTGACCTTTGACTTGTGCCTGGAAGAGCAGCACTTCTCAGGTGGAAGTGTTGTTCCCAGTTTAGCAGACAGGGGTTCTGTGTTGGTATAAGGGGAAAAAGTAATCTGTTAGATTGCAGCTGTCACTTCAGAGATTTTCATCCCTCTCCCTTACATAAGCGTGAGAGTATTATAGACACAAGATATGGGGGTTACAGATATATGTGAAATAGCTTCACACAGCTGTATAGACATCCCTTTCAGCCTTGTTTGTGTTAGAAGAGGTGTGGGATTAAAGGACGTGTCCTCTTTTTGTTTTTCAAAAAATGTAGAGGCTTGGCAGAATTACCAGTGCAGTGACATGGTGGGTGAATCCCGATGTGATCAGTGTTTTCTTATTCTCCTTCCTTTTCCGTTTTTGTTTGTTTGTTTGTTTTGTTTTGTTTTGTTATGGTTTGCTTTGTTTATTATATCAAATGTCACTGCAGCTCATTTTTCAGGATTGTGTGGTCACCATTTTATCGTGACCTGGCTCTGCTCAGAAGTTTCTACCTGAAAATCCCTTTAAGTCAAGTCTGAAAGACTAAAGAACTGGTCTAGGAATCTGAGCAACCTAGAGGTGTTTGCTCTGGCCCGTGCCCTGAGTACCAGGAGAGAGAAATGGTTTGATGTCACTTGAGTCCTTGGTTCTGAGGCTGGGCCATGTCCACTGCCTGGAATGAAATGGCAGTAGCCAGAGACATTCCCAGGCAGCTGGGAGTGACCAGGGGATCCAGGAGCCTCTCCTGTCCTCCACCAGGCACGAGGAGGAAGAGAGAGTGAGGCACCAGGAGGAATTTAAAATGGACCCTGTGCCCCTCCCCAGGAGGTTGGCTGGCAGCAGAGGGAAGGGCCAGGGGCTGGCTCCTCTGTAAGGACTCTGTAAGGTCGTGGCGAGGCTGCCCGTGCTGCCTGTGCCAGCAGGAATGCGCAGTGCCCCCGGAGCCGGAGCTCCAGCTCAGCACAGCTCGCTGCAGCCAAGCCGGGATGACTTTGCAGATGCTGGTGCTGCGCATGGAGTGACCTGAGATGAGCCCTGATGCAGCTCTCCAGGGCAGGGCTGGAGCAATTCACCCAGAGGAGCAGGGCCCTGCATTCCTGCTGGAAGTGGAGTTCCTCAAGAAGGACTTCCTTTGCAAAAGGTTTGGGATTGATGTGGCCAGATGAAGTGAGAATGCATTTGTGTTTCAAGGTCAGTGGGAATATCCTTTTGCCCTCTGTCAAAAATAAAGGAGACAGAGGAGCGTGGGGTCCATGAGGAAGATGTTACCAAGAGCTCTTGGAGTAGGAGACATTTTGTAGCTGAGTATCTCTGTATCCCCAAGCAGATCTAAGTCAGAGAAACCCGAGCACAGCAAAACCCTTTCTTGGCAGTATCCAGCACCATTTCCCCTCTGTGGGAGTCCGTGTCTCTAGTCCTGTGCAGACAAAATGTCAGGGCTTCATCTGTCTCCCTGCTTCCCACCAGCTGAGAAGCCAGCAAGTGCTTTTCTAATGAAGGATTAACTCTGCAATCAGGTATGTGCTCCTTGTGCCCTCCTTACACTCCAGCACAATCATACCCAAAGCATATGAAGACATGCTCACTGAATAAATTCAGATCAGGTTTCAGTCTGCTGGCTTATCTGTACCTCTGATCCCTCAAAGCAAGACTTTGACCTGGCTAAAAGCAGTAAAGCTATGTTATGGGTCCAAGAAGTAGGACTGCAGAGGTTTCACTCCCCACCTCCCATGTGAAGGACATGGCTCTCTTGAGCCAAATGACACCCTTTGTCTCTCAGTCATGAGCCACACAGAATCATTACAGACTCATAGACCCTTCCTTTGGGTTGGAAGGGACCTTAAAGATCATCCAGTTCCAACCCTCTGCCATGAGCAGGGACACCTTCCACTAGCCCAGCTTGCTCCAGAGCCCCATCCAACCTGGCCTTGGACATTGCCAGGGATGGGGCAGCCACAGCTTCTCTGGGCAACCTGTGCCAGGGCCTGCCCACCCTCCCAGGGAAGGATTTCTTCCTAATATCCAATCTAAACCTGCTCTCTGTCAGCCTGAAGTCACATACAGCCTCCAGCAAAAGCCCTCTGGCATTTACCCCATTGAGCAAGGCTGGGGATGTGGTAGTTGCTGTTGGGTGGAAGAAGAGCTAAGGAGGCAGAGCAGTAGTATCTTAGCAGCAGGGCTGTTTTGAATCTGTGTTCTTGGATGCCAGCCCTAGCTAGGGAAGGGGACGTACTGGTTGGGCAGTGTGGGAACAGGAATGGAATTGAACTCTGGACCTTTTCTGTTTAAAACCTGTCTCCCCAGCACTAATCCTGTGAGGACTTGGAGTGCCCTTGTCCCAGCAAGCAGGGTTTTCAAGGCTGGCTGGTTGGCAGTGCTGATTATGTCCTTGCTTTGCGCGCCACAGGCACGGTGGAAAAGAGCTTGAGAAAAACAGTAGCTCCTGCTGCCAGCTCCATCAGGCAGAGGACTTCTCAGATGTCAGGCAGATCTGAAACATCAAAGGGGCTTCTCCTGAACTAGCTGACCCTTTGTTACACATATCCTTCCACTAATACCCAGCAGATTATCTTCGCCTTGTTCCTGACCTGTGGCAACCCCCGTGCTTTGAACATGCCCCATGATGGCAGAGAAGTGGCATTCACAGTGACTGCACTGCTGCAGGTGGCTCCCAGTGGGTGGCAGTTAAGTCCTCTCTGAATTTTCTTCTGGGTATGTGTATGTGTGTCACTGGAAGTGCTCCCAAGCATGTGTCACCACCCCCACACTTCAATCTGAGCCTGAGCTACAGGTGAGTGTCAGCTCAGCAGACGTGAAAAGGGGGTTTAGCCCCGGGTGAACCGTGGATTGCTGTGAATGCAAGAGTTGGCTCTGCTTACACACGGGATGAGCTGCATCCCAAGACCTCGGAGGACAAGAATTTCCAGAGGTTTTCTGTCTCCCTGGAGCAGTCTTGCTGAAATCTGGGGGGAGCGCTCATGGAAATAAATGAGAGAGAGGTGTTTCTGGGGAAAGATGTTGCTGGTGACTTCTGAATGTAACCATGATGGTGAGATGATGCAGTGAAGGAAAGCCAGCACAGGGGAGAGAGCCCCTGTGGTTTTAAGCACAGTTCTGCCGTGTCTCAGACCCGCTCTCCTTGACCCCACGGTGTGGTCCGTGCTGAGCTGTCACGCACACAGATTGCCCCTGACTCTGCTCTCAGGGCTGACTGCAACCTTCTCCTTCCTGGGTCTGCTGTTCTGGTCCTGGAATTCTTCCAGCCACTGCTTCCCCCCAGCGCTGCACTCTGTTATCAGTGATTCCTCTGTCGTGCCATGATCTGCTGGAATAACTTGTACCGCATAAGCAATTCTTGAAATGTGCCTCAAGGCAGAGGGAAAGCACTCCCAGAGACCGGGAGAACCACTGGATTAAAAACAGTTCCCGTGGGGAACAAAGGGCAGGAACAGCGTGCAATGTGTTTCTCAGACCATTAGGAACCCCTGATTTCTAGGAGAAGGAAGGGGGCAAGTGAAAAAGGTGGCTGTGTGAGCCTGCTTGCCTTGGCCTGCTGGAGCAAACAGTGAGTGTCAGAATCAGCCTTTCAGAGTCAGGACTCTGGAGTTCTTTTGCATCCACCAGCCATCATGTGGTGGAAATTAGTGGCTTGAGGCTGTGCCTGTAAAACCAGGTGTCTGTTTCTCTCCCACTGTCCTTTTCTAGCATTCAACATCCATGCAACTTGCAGCCTTCCTGCACCTAAAGAGAGCCCACGAGGAAGATGGAGAAGGACTATTTACCAGGTCCTGGAGTGACAGGACAAGGGGGAATGGCTTCAAACTGACAGAAAGCAGATTTAGATTGGATATCAGGGGGAAATTCTTCCCTGGGAGGGTAGGGAGGCCCTGGCACAGGTTGCCCAGAGAAGCTGTGGCTGCCCCATCCCTGGCAGTGTCCAAGGCCAGGTTTGATGGGGTTTGGAGCAATCTGGGCTAGTGGAAGGTGTCCCTGCCCATGGCAGGGGTTGGAACAAGACGGTCTTTAAGGTCCCTTATGAATGAAGGTCTCTGAGAGAGGGAAGGATTCTGTTGGACATAGCTACCATTCAAAGTGCTCTTTGCATCTTTAGTCAGCTGGGCACCTATGGACCATCAATCACCCCTGTACGAGTCTTGAAAGAGGCTGTGGTCCCTGCCATACCAGCAGCAGAGGATCAAGCCCTTTAGTTCATCCTCTGTATTTTTTTCCCCCATTTTTCCTGACTGAAAGTTGGTTTTCAACTTCTTCAGGGTCTTCGTTCCAGGAAGGATGGTCAGGACTCTATAGACAGCAAAACCATGACGGTTTTTATTGTCAGCAGAAATACAAATAACAATCAGTTATAGTTACCTCCCATTTACCATCTCAGGAAGAATCTGGGAGCTACTGGATGAGCCATAGAAATATCAGGCAAAGATGAACTTGTAGGCATGGAGTGCATGAAAATCAGCCTGTTCTACACAGGGATAGCTTTGCCTAGTCTATGAAACATTATTGCAACAAAATTGGAACAATCCAGTCAGGTCTTGCGATGAGACGTGTGATTTATGAGGGTAAAGCCAACTCAACATCATCTTAATGACACCCTATTAAATACACATTACTAAATTTGATATGTCCAGGAGCACACTGCCTGAGAGACAGAGCTCCCATCTAATCCAGTGGCTTCTGCTGATTTTTGAGCATATTGCACAACCAGAGGAAAAGAGCACCCCTGTGCTTAGACCTGCCCTGCCAGAGCAAGGAAGGGAAATGGTGTAAGACTGCCTGTCCTTCATCCACCTAAGTTTCTGTGAGATGACCTTTCCAATGCTAATGAGGCTGAGTCAGAGCATAAGGAGTGGCATGAATAATTCTTCAGCACGAAAAAGCAATAAACATACATACACGGTTCTGAGAGCTTAAATTGCTTTCGCTTATCCTGGGAATGTCTGTCCCCCAAGGTAAATGCCACCAAACAATGCTGGATTCCTGTCAAAGTGGCAGCTGAAGGCCATTCTGGGAGGATGACTACTGGTGGTTCAGCATCTGACAGCTTGGCAAGTTCATTTCTTCAGGATTCAGGCAGCAGTTCAAGTTGGCCTCTCTCAGCAGAGCTCATTCCAGGGACTGAGGGGTGGAAAATCCCTTGTATTTTAACTACTTTTGACACCAAACTTCTATCTCCTCTTGAAAATGGGAAGGTGACCTGTAACTTGATTTCTGCATATGAGGAGATAACTCTTTCCTGTGTCTGTAAGGTTTTGCCCCAAAGATGACAAAGTTCACAGAATCACAGAACGGTTTGAGTTGGAAGAGACCTTAAAGATCATCTTGTTCCATCCCCCTGCCATGGCCAGGGACACCTTCCACTAGAAGTTCTCCCATGCTGCTTTCATGGGAATCACATGAGGACATGGCATAGATATTTTGCTTATAATCTTGGCTTAAGATTTTCATTTCCATCCTTCCGATGAACAACGGCAGTGAGAGGAATGAGCAGCTGGTTTATTGATATTGGAACTTGCTCCTCTGTGCTCTGTGACCATGCAAAATCCATGGCTTGGGCAGCACTCTGCATCCAAGCAGGGCGATGCCTGGTGGTGCTGCAGGTGATAGCAGGAGTACAGGGGAATTTGGGAGGACCATCACAGCATCCTGGAAAGCACCCTTGAGCCTGCACAGGGGACCTGCTCCATTAGATGGTCAACTGAAGTTTCTAGGAATGATATAATCATGTGGAGGGGAGACCAGGCTTGAATTACAGAGTCAATAGGCATCGTTTGGAGGAACACAGCTGAGGTGTAAACAGATAGCAGCACCGGGGTGAACCGGAGTTCATCTGCATCGCAGGGCACTGTGCGTGGCACCAACTGGGTTTCATGCAGAGTAGCTGGGTGGATAGGGCAGCCAGAGAGCCCCTGTACAAGTGGGGCAGTCAGAAGGTTGTGTGTTGGTGTCTAAAGCAGGGCAATAGGTTATCAGTCTCTGGGGCAAACTGTCAGTCTGAGTTGCTGGGCTGGGTCCTGGAGAGATGTACGGGAAAAGGGACCACTGATTCCCACAGCAGAACTTCTGTGACTCCCACTGAGGCACAGAAACCACCATCAGCCACCTAAAACGCTCCATCAGGAGGGAGAGGTGCCTTGGCAGTGGTGGGATTGGTCTGATGCCTCTGGGGGAGATCAGCAGATCATGTACACACTGTGGGTACCAGCGGACCCGCATCCACCTCCCGTTCATCCTCAGCACGCTCCCCCCTCATCTGCTGCTCAAACTGCTTGGTCTGTGCCACCAGGACTGCTGGGTGGGAGGTGCCTGGTCTCTTATGAGTGCTCTGCTGTTTGGAAACGTGAAGCTTGGAGAGGGGAACTGAATTGAAAGGCGGCGTTTCAGGGTCGTGTTCTCTGGCGGCGCAAATCAGCCCAGCCTCAATTAATTCAATTAGCAGTTCTGACCCCGGAGTTATAAATATTGGTGAGTGTGCTGCTCTGAGCACTGTGGCAGCATGCAGGAGATTTAAAAGGAGCTGTTTTCCCCCCCTCATCTCCCCTGGTTTTTCATAGGCAGAATTCAAAGAAATGCTAAGAAAACAGTTGTCAGTCTTTGGGTCAAAGTTCTGGAGCCAAACATCAGTTGTGCTGAGCATTCCTGTCCTCCTGCATCTCAGAGCAACCCTCACTGTTTGCACTAGGCTGTCATGTTCAAAGGACCCTTTTCACATCAAAAATACCCCTTGAGTTGGATTAACAAATGACAAATAAGCTGCTCCAAGTCCTCATGGGAATCCTAAAGGATATACCAGTGTGGGGACATACAGGGACTTTCATTTTTCCTTAGAGGAAATCCTGTCACCTCCTGTGCATGGAGAATTGCAACAGAAGGGTCCATATGGATTCACAAAAGGAATGTATCCTGTTCATCCTCCACAAATGCATTGAAGTGCCAGAAGGTTTTTGTGTCCAGTCTTTTGATTTTTTTTTTTTTTTTCTGGAGGGGCTGCAGGTCTCTTCCCGGGCAGTGATAGTCAGAAAACCAGGAAGACTGGATGTCATTTACAGTCCTTTCCCACAGGAAATTGAGGGCCATCACAATCAGGGTCAGAGACTGAAGTAAAAGCCACAGTAATAACCAGTCTTTCATTTCTAGCTCACTAAAGTAGCTTCAGGTAAATCCTATTTATAATAGAAAAAAGTTTCAAGTCAACTTTGGCCAAGTGGCAGAAATCCCAGATTGGCAAAAGGTTTGAAAGGAAAGAAAGTAGTCATTTTTATGCCACTTTCCCCTCAAATATGCCCATAGAAAACAGAAAGGAAAGATAAGAAATGACTGGTCTTCATTCTGCCTTTACTCAGAGTTTCCTTACCTGCATTTAACAGTTGACTACAACAGCAAATATCAACATGAATGATGGCACAACAGCAGCTGTAGTTTAGATACCCAAGTCTGTATTTTAGGAGAAAGGTACCTGGAGCCTTTATCCTTTATTTTCCCAGTTCTCCATCTCAGCAATAGCAAAAAATGCAGCATATTCTCCTGCCTTATATAATTTTTCACCTGATGATGACCCTCTGTGGTCCCCTCCAGCCTGACCCACCCTGTGATTCTGTGAGCTGGTTTTCCACCAGAGGTGTCTGCCTCCCTCTGATGACCCCCCAGGTTTGAACCAACTGCAAATTTAAACACTTTACAGAGGTGGCAAAAATTCATTTCAACAAATCAGGGCTCAGATTCACGAAAGGCAACTCTCTTTGGCCAGTTGCAGGTATTTTCTGCAGCTGTGTTAAGATCCTAATTTAGAAGTAATTCATGAAATTACTATTAAAGACTTGGTGTCTTATACAGAGACTGTGGAATGAGGGGCAGTCTCCAGTGAGACAGTGTGAACATCTTCCCTCCCAAGGAAGGTGGAACAGAATCAGAGAAGGTGGTACTTGTGCATCCTTCAGGGGTGGTTTGAACTTGTCTGAAGGATATGGGTGTGAATATCCATCTTGTGTGAGAAGGCAAGGGCCTTCCAGAAGTGCTACAGCAAACAAGAGCTGGTGGTGAAAACGAAATCTGGGATGGCAGGTCTGATGCCCAGCCCTGGTTGCTGGGTTGTTATCAGCTCCCTTTCATCTGATGGCTCCCCACGTTTTCTTTAGGGAAGAGACCAATCTGCAGTGCAACCACACCGAGGTGTTCTGCCTCCACTGCCAGAAAGCTTGGTTTTTTGCTTTTTATTAATTAGAGGAGTTGAGTGACTGCTTCCAATGCAGCGGTGTGGCACAGGTGTCCTGTGAAACACATAGGCCCAGGGGAAAGGTCTGACCTGAGCCTCAGCTGGTGTCCCCTGGCATCAGACCAACCACACCTGCTTAGAGCAGCTGAGGGAGCTGGTCTCATGTGTGCAAAGCTAAGCTGTTTGCCTAAAGGGCAGCCTCAGCTCGGCTGAAGGACTTGCTTTAGGATGAGGTGGATGGTTCTGAACTTCCCATGCAGTTTTTGCAACATTTGCATCAGCTTGCTGGTGTAAGTCTCGAGAAAGGGGAAAGCCAAGCCTTCCCTGGTGACTCCCAGGATGCATGTGCTCTTTAACAGCCCCAGAAAGGGAATGCTGGAATTTCCTGGAGGGAGCATCCGATCATCTTCCCAGAGTCACCGAGTCCTCTGACTCTCCTGCATCGTCAGAACGAGCAGAAACCCAAGCGTGCCAGGGACACTGAGACTCAGATGGTCTCTGCTCCCTCGAGTTGTGGCACCCAGCCTACAGCTGGGGAAAGGCAGCATAATTCTGCTTTGCTGCCTTCCCCTGTTTGAAGCCTCCAGCCTGGAGGATTTTTGTTCATCAGCTCCTCAGCACGCCGTGTTTCCACAGGAAAATTCAGCGGTTGCGATGCTGACGGGAGTGACGCTTTAATTTTAGCAGACACCTCCTTTCGGTGTGTGGGAAGGCAGGGTTTTGCTGTGCACTGAAGTGCACAACAGGGCTGCTATCGAGCACTCCCTTACTGGTGTGGATGAGGAGCAGCACAGCTCTAAAATCAACAAAGCTGAGCCCAGTTTAAACCAGTCTGCTTTCAAAGTCTTTACTGGGGGCATTTTGCATTTGCTGTCCCAAGTGACAAAGCGAGTCCCGAGGGTCATGTTTTCTCTGGAGCCACATCAGTTTGTATCTGCTGAGCCCCTGACTTGGGATGCTTGTTCCACCAAGTGTGTCAGACTGGCTGCCCTGTTCTGCAGCGAATGCCTGAAGACTCGTGCCGTGCCTGGAGCAATGAATAACAGCAGGACTTGAGGACACCAGTGACCAAGTGACAGAGATCACTCTCTGGGGAAAGAAAGGACTTCTTGGATCACCTCTGCAGGGAGGGAGAGAAAGGGGAAGGGAGGGAAGAACAGCGCCTGAAGCTCCCCGTTAGAGGAGCTGTGCAAGAGCTGGTGCAGAGGAGGATGAGTCACCTTCAGGCTTTGGCTTGGGTGGCAAGGGAAGCGCTCCCACCTCCAGAACGCCTCCTGCTTCTGCTTTGTCACTGCCTCTCCTCGCCCAGGCTCTGCAGTGACCCCGGGTTCCCTGTTCGGAGGGGACAGTGGCAGTGCCACCCTCGTGGGAAAGCACAGCCCCTAACGGGGGATCCCACGGTGCCGCCGTGCCCTGCCCATCCGCGGCTGTCCCAGCGCTGGCCGGGGGCTCTGGGTACCACTGCCTCCCTCATGTTTTATGCATGGTTACACCCACGGCGCTGGGGGAGGAAGCACCAGCGGATCAAAGCCTCTCCATTTCTTCACTTACTTGCTTGCATTTTATGATCCACAGGGAGAAATTAGCTCGAGGAGCCCTCAGACCCGCGTATTGGCAGCACTGCCATCGATGTACAGGACTGGGGGCATTTCTCTTGCCTGACTGGAACCATGGCACTTAGGCACAGAGTCTCAGTTAATTGTCCAGGCTCTTTCTTCTGTGAGTACAAATCCCAGGCACTGCTGACTGGTGATTCATGGCAGATCTGACAGGCACAGTGACTCACCCCCTAACAATGCCGCTTTGCCTCCACTGGCTGTGGGTTTGCTGAAAGACGTGGAACTTTCAGGTGGGTGAGCTTAGGTGAGATGAATCTCATCCCAGGAAGCAATTCCTGCTGCCATCCCTTACCTTCCTCTGCAAACACCCCCCGTGCAAGGTGCAGTGGGGAAAGGTGCCCTGCAGTGTGAAGCAGCAGCTCTGAAATGGGTGCTGTGAAAGGTGGGTGGCTCTGCCCACGTACCCGTGGCCACCTGGTGAGAGAGCAACTATCAGAGCTGGAGCGGCAGCCTGAGGGGTGCCAGGAGAAGAAAACCACCAGTCTGAGTGCCCACTTTGTTTCTACCCACAGAGGTTCAGTCACAGACTGAGATCTCGGTGGTTTCTCTGACATCCACACCAAAGCTTTATTTATACACGAAGAAAATTCACCTACCAGAGCAGAGCAGAGTGATCAGATGGCCAAATCAACACGATAAAAAGCCCACTCCAAAACAACCTCCCCCCCAACATCATAAACAGCACTGTTGTTTTGGAAATACCCATCTCTTAGGACTAGTTTAGAATAGAAAATTATTTCTCTAATAGCATTAGACTTTTTTTTTTTCAGATTACCAACAGCAGGGAAGATGTCAGATGCGCTGTAGCTTCAGATCAAATGCACAAACATGCTAGATGTGAATATTTATTTTTAAATTTCTCTTTATTCCTAACCTGAAACCAGCTGTCTGGGTGTTTGTTCAGCAGATCCCACCCTAAAGAATATTATACAAGGGATCAGAGCTTTAAAGAGTGCTGAGGAAAGTTGTTCACTTTCATAGATGGTTTATGATTTCACTATTCAGAGTTTTCTCTCATTAAACTGCCAAGCAGTTGCTTATTTGAACTCGTTCTGCCATTGGCAGAAAGTTGTCTTCAGAAGCTGAAATTAAATATGTAAAAACTTCTTTAAAATCATTCTGTGGGTTTGTACTCGTGGTACTGTTGTGTGTTTTCCCAAATGTGCAGCACATTACAGGCCTCTAGTGGCAGAAATGAAAAAAATCCACATTAGGATCCATCCTAACTGTAGCAGTTCCCGATGGTCCTTAACTCCAGACTTAATAAATTGCATAATGCTTCCTGCTCATAGGTTTGGCCTGCTAGTTTGCTCGCTGGAGGGAAATGGGAATCCTGCAGAGGTCAGAGATACCGGTGACAATTTTCTGTGAATTTGAAAAACACAATGAGAAAGGAAACCAGGTTAAAAAAAAAAAAAAAAAAAAAGGAGAAAAGTACCTGGTGTATAGTCCTACTCTTGCCAAAAAAGGTAGAATGCTGTGAGCCTGGCAGGTTTCAACCAAGACACACCATATCTGCCTTGCCACCCGTTTTTCTGCCAGGTCTGTGTGCCTGGACCCTGTCAGTCCATCTCAAAGCCTGGTTGGTGCCACCTCCCTGGCGAATTCCCAGGTGTCAGCTGTCCAGCAGCTTTCTCCTTTCAGTCCTTGTAAAGGAGCATCCCATCCTGCCGGGCTGATCTCACTGCATTTAACATTTCATTGGCTCAGCACAAATTTATTTGTCTTGCACAAAAGTACAAGGCGGTGACTGTGCAATTCCCAGAGGGTTGATGGGTTTGGTGGGTTTTTGTTTGTTTATTTGTTTGTTTTTGTTGGTTTTTAAATTACAATTTTTCACTAATATAAATAATAATATTTTCAAACTTTCAAAGCTTCATTTCTGAGATAGAATGTGATATGAAGTTATACCTCCCAAGGCTGTGTTTCTATAACATGCCCACTGCCTTCTTCCTTCTCGAGCTTGAGTTCAAAAGGAGCTGAGAACTCCAGAGGGATGGTCTGGAGGATGTGAAGGTAGGGATTCCTGTGCTTTGGATAGTATTAAAAGGAAGGTAATCTTGAAACTTGAAGAGGATTGGAGGTGGTGGTGGTGGGGAAATTACATCAGCTGGGAATACCTGCATATGCTAAACAGTGATGGTTACAAGGTCAGGGGTTGTTATACAGTGTCTCCAAGGACTACTATATGTAAAAAAACAAAAGTGAGATGTGTCAGAAGTGATCAAAAATTCTAAAGATAAATTATTCCACTCCCTTTTGCACTTTGGTGTTCTTTATTGGACAGTGAGTTAGTCACTGGGCACTGCATTTTAGTGGAGAGGTAGGAAAATGTGGGGGGCTTCAGAAGAGATACTTCTTGCAGCAGGAGGAGGGGAATTCCTGCATGTTACCCTGGCTCATTTGCTGCCACCTTTACCAGGACTGCACTGGCCAGCAGCAGCAGTGACAGTAATGATGCTTCCCATGAACATACTGTCTTTATGTGAGGTTCTCTAAGGATATGTAAACACTAATTAAGCCTCCTAACACCTCAGGGAGCTCCAAAGGGTTCACATCACTTACTTCTCTGCAGCTGTTTGACTGCACATGGCCCTCCTAGTCACTGACTGAGGAGCCTGCCAGAACTGGAGTCACAGCCTCATTCTTTTCATGCAATACATGGAGGGGGAGTAGCATTTTTTTTCTCCACTCTCTTTTCACAGGATCACAGGATGGTTTGGGTTGGAAGGGACCTTAAAGATCCTCTTGTTCCAAGTCAGGAACACCTTCCACTGGACCAGGATGGCCTTGGGCACTTGAACACAGTCATTGCTGTGAGAACAACATATAAAATCCAGCCAAAGTTCTCTGCAGTGGGCAACTCACCACTCTTTCAGTGTGAATGAAGGCACACATTGCCTCAGTAAAGATTCCCTGTCACCGTGCCTTTTGTTCTGAGTCCCCTTCACCCAAGGCAAAGTCTTCTATTTCACACAGGCAGAGATTCAGGGTGGACCGTGATAAAACTGAATCTTTTTTTGCCATTGTAAGTGTAAGGCAGTTTCAGGGAGGTTTTTGCTGTTCTCCAAACAGTAATTGCATCAGGAGGACAGAGATCAGAACGTTCTGTACTACCTATTGGCTACACAATCCACCATTAGAAGTTGGAAAGTCGAACTGCTCATTTTCTGGCTCCTATAAATATCTGCTCTATTTGGCTTCCAGATCACTGGGAGCAGATGTACCAGATCATTAAGGGAGCAAAGAGGATTTTGCATCCTCAATTTTTGTTGCTACCATAAATACTTTGGTGGTCACTGCATGGGGAATGCAGAGCTTGCAATCTGCATGTCAGACACGATCGAGTGCTTTGCAGACATGGGCAGGGGAAAGGCAGGAGCAGGCAAAACGGGAATAAAAAGCGAAGTGGGAAGAGCTGGGGAGACATCACACCCTGGTTTGGCAGTTGCCTGCTCACCACCACCTGTCAGGGATTTTCAGGCACAATAAGAGTGAAAGATTTGGTGACGAGGAGGAGTGAGAGACAGCAGCCTTATTAATTTCTGTGGGGAGCCTTCTCCAGGAGTGGGGCTGGAGCAGAGGGGGATGGCAGCATGGTACCATCACAGAGAGATGTAGGTAAGACTAATTTAGCAGGGACATCTTTGCAGAGGGGAGATGATATGGGTGTCTCCCAGGTGAACAAGAAGAGGCAGGGATGCCTTAGATTTTCAGAATCGCCGTGAGGCTGACAGATGTTGGTGTGGTAATGCAGAGCATCTGATTGTAAGACCCAAATACACATCATTTTCTTTCAACAGCAGCATTTCGGTTCCAGGAGCATCCTCCCTCCTGTGGTGGGAGCCCCAGCCATTTGCAGGTGGCCTGCACAACATCTGTGCCCCATTTGTTCCTCTCCTCAGCTTCTGAAGTGAAGTCTGGTTTGACTGGCCTGTTTGGTCAGCGGGGTGCAGAGGGTGGAGGGACATCAGAAGGCAGGGGAGAGGCAAAGGAAGAGAGAATCCCTTCTCCAAGGGCAGTGGGTGTTCAGTGGCAAGTTCCAGTATGTACTTTCCCCTCCTCAGGAACAGCTGGTCGGAATTAATTTCTCAGTTCAGTGCTGTTGGTGGGTTTGTGTGGGAGTGAAATGGGAGAGAAAATTCTCAAAAGGACTGAAGCATTCAAGTATTACCAAGAGAGAGTTTTTATAAAGATTTTATATTCCCTTGATTGCAGATGGGAAAGCAAGAGGCAGGGATCACCATTTCAGATCAAGCAGCCACAGCACTGCAGTCTCATTAGGTGGATGCTTCACTGGTTATATCAGGAATTAAATGTGTGTTCTGCCCGTGGCTCAGGCATATTGGAGATGCTGTGAGGTGGTTCTGGGCTTGGAGTTCCATATGCTGCTTATACCAGAGGCCCTGGAGAATCTGGTTCATTCTGTGTTCTTTGTAGAGCTCTAGGACTAGAACAGTGCTCCTGGAATCCCTTGGATTGGGGCTTCTCCCTCCACTTTTATTGCCCTGATTCACAGTCCATCATCAGTGCCTCCTTCTCTAGCAAACTGAGAGAGAGGCGCAAGTCCAGGGGACACCTCTTTTCTAAGACTGACATTTTGAGTTATGGCAGATAAGTAGGTTACTAGAGGATCCTGTTTCTCTCTCCAACCATTCCTGGGTCCTGGAGTCATCAGTTCTCCTTCTCTTCCTTTTGGCTTCTCATGTCTGGCCAAGATTTTAGCACAGAAACCTCTTTGCTGCCACGATGCCCAAGGGCTGCAGGGTTTTTTTTTTAATAAGAGGCTGTTATTACCCAACTGGTCAAGACATATTTTTGAGCTCGCTTCTGGGAGGTTTTCGAGTGATGTTTGGGATCAGCATGAAGTCACTTCTCCTTGCCAGGCACAGTCAAACTTTGAAACAACACTGATTCAAGACATGCTGAATGAACAGTAGATTTGGAGATGGAAGCCAAAGGTTTCTGAGTTCTCTAGGCTTAGGAGATTTTTGGGAATTCTGGACTGAGGCTGAGTGACTTTTTTGAGACTTCAGAATAAACTTCACGTATCGCATGCGGAGGAAAAATCTCTGCTGGTAAAATTAACATTCTTGTTTTTAGGACCGTAATTTACACAAGAGCTGCTGTAATCTTCCAGTCCTGTGCACAGAGACAGGCTGCTCAGTACCTCTGCCAAATCTGTCTTCCTGTAATCTGTTCTAAACCTTCTAAAGGCTCTGTGCAATTGGTTGCAATGATGCATAAGTGAGGCAATCGAGAAACAGAATCCCTGTGCCAGAAGGAGCTTCTTCCTTCAACAGCTTCACTGTGCATCTTAAGGACTTCTGTTTGCTCTAAATACATGTGAGTTTGGACTTTTTCGTGCATTATCCCACAGGTGGCTGTAGACCTTGTTTAGCAAGAGTGCAGATGTAGATGTGAGCTGAATAAGAGATTTGTGTGCTTTTTGCCTTCCTTCCTATCCTGTGGCATCCACAGCTCTGGCATTTACATCTCACTGAAGCCGCTTTCATGCAGGGGTTAAATTACTCGTCCTTTCAAAATGCAAAAATTGCATTGTCTAGAAGTCCTCAGAATTGTTTTACTGTTATTTGTTATTGATAATGATTTCATGGCAAACACCTGTAATATATGCAGGACAGAGGCAGGTTTTAAATTAGCTAAAATATGCCAGCTTTTAAATCTCTGATGGATTTTTCTGAGCTGTCACACACTGTGCACAAAGGAGTTGCTTGTTACTATGGCTGGAATCCGTGTTCCTGCAATTCCCTTTTTTCTTGACAAGTCACTGAATGGAAAACCCAAATTCACTTGGGCATTCAGAGCTTCCCTAATACTATTCCAGTGAAGGAGCAAATTTTTTTTTTTCTTTTCTATTGAGTTTTTGCTGAAACTGAAAGCCCTGAGGCTTTTGTGTGTGGTCCCTGCAGAGCTGCCCTCACAGTTGTGCTGTCATTCATCAAAGGACACCCATTCCTGGAGTGTAAAAGTACCACGTTACTGATGTCATCTCTCCATCTGCCAGCCAGGCTAGTGAACATCTGCAACAGCACCACTGGGAATGCTTCAGCAACAGGGCATGTTTTAAAACATGAAATATGCTTCATGGTATTTGGTTTTTTTAAAGAAAATCCAGTTTATGTGAACAATACAATGAAATTGGTGAAATTGCCCCAAATGAAATTGGTGAAAATTCACTTCAGCTGATTTTTTTTCACCAGGGTAAAAAAAGAAGTTCGATGGAAAAGTTTGTGTCTGTAATGCTGAGTCTTCTACATCAATATAAATAGCTCAGCAAACATTATTTGAGGTTACCAGATAGACATATTTAAAAAATACAGTCCTATCTACATGTAAGAGATAGAAAGGGTTGGTCTGATTTATGACTTCCCCTGATCCACACAGATAAATCACTGAATCTTTTTAAGGACTGGGGCACCAACGCTATAGAAATGATCCCTGTTGGTTCATGAGCAATCAGAAAACTTCAACTTTTTAAGAAGTTCAGAAGAAAAAAAAAAGGTGTGTAAAATTCACCATCACTGTCTCCCTGAACCAGAATCAACAAAACCCTGGATCAACAATATGGTACTAAAAGGTCAGTCAAATCTTTTCCTAAACTGGATTGCCCTTCTGACTCCCCAGAATTCAAAACCTTCACCCTAAATCACCTTTCCCAAAAGCATCTGTTCAAATTCTTTCATAGTTTCCACATATCATGGAAACACAGTAATTGTCCAGCACCATCAACAAGTGATGTGGTTCAAGGAAAAACTACCACCACATGATATGCCTAATTCCCAAAGCTGCTTTCAAAAGCTAATCTTTGGTGCCTTGCCCTTCAGAGACGCTTGTGATGCATCTGATGACAGGCACATGGCAATGGTACGAGAAATGGGGCTACCCTCGTTTTTTGGGGGAGTTCTGCTAATAAAGTGTGCTCACTGGGAGAATTAAAGGACATCTCCACAGCCCAGGGGCAGGTTCACCCCAGGTGACCACGTTTGGTGACCCCATCACTCGGCTTTGAGCTCTGGTGGGTGGGGATTGGGTTGCAGGGTGCTGGTTCTGCCTTGGCACCTCCACATGGGATTGAGTCACAGGCACTGCACTCACGGACTGCACCTGCTGCTGACGGTGGCTCTCTGCATTTTCCCTTGGTGTGGCTGCTGGAGATCGCAGTGGGGGACATTTGGTATCGCTGTCAAATCCCTCAAAATATTTTCCTGTGTCTTTGAAAACAATAAGGGTTTTCAAGTACCTTTAAAGGCAAAAAATGTGACTCCCCCCAGGGACAGGGGCTGGATATGAGGGGTGAGTCCAGCTGAGTTTTCTCTGCCTCCCCTGAGTGAGTGTGAGTGTTCCCGCTGTTCTCTGCTCCCTCCTTTGGTGGTTTGCACGTATTCTGAGCGCACAAAAGGCTTGCTGGACAGCCCCTCGTGATGGGCTGAAGGAGTGCTCCGAACAGACCAGTTTCCAGGCACGATCCCCTCGTCTTTTCCTGTTTGCCAAGCTGCCATGGCATGTCCTGAAGGAACCTGCAGAAGAAATGCTGGCCTGGTTCCCACTTGGCCAGGCTCCCAGGCGTGACACTGAAGGTCAGTGGTTCCCTCCTGTGGAATCCCAGTCCTCTTCCGCATTCTATTCCCTCCTTTTACCAGTCCCCTAATCTGAGAGATCATGTGGGGAGAGGCAGGAGAGGGTGGGGGAGGAGATTGTGATGTAACCTCTGCTCCGGCGAAGTTACGAGACGGACAGCGCAGCGCCCGCAGCGCGCCGTGGGCTTTTGGTGGCTGCTGCTGGGACACCTCAATAAGAGGCACGAAGATCCACCCCAGCCGTGCGGGACCCCGCAGGTGATGCACTCACCTCACCTGTGGAGAAGAAAGCCGAGCAGGGTGTCTGCAGCTCCTGGTTCTGCTGCCTCTGCGGGCACCCGGAGCGAGGCGATCAGCGAGGGATGCTCGGAGTCAGCCGCGCTGCTGGGGTGAGTCTGCTCCTTCTTCCTGGGCTTTCCCTGCACTTTGGGAGGGAGGGAAAGGAAGGGGAGTGAGCTGGAATGCGTGCGGATTGTTTGAGGGCGTTTAACCGTGTGGAATCCCCGGTGGATTGACTCCGTGCCAGCTGACAGTCCCCGGGTAATCCCAGCGCTAGCAGGCTCTGCCCGGGTTACAGGGGCATGTCTGTGTGTCAGGGTGGGGGTGGGACCCGCTGGGTGTGTCAGGGGAATCGAAAAAGGGGTTTGACCTTTGATTGGCTGCAGGAGAGAAATTTGGAAAGAGAAATTCGGAGAAGTCTGTCACCCGTGTGTGCAGGGGCGTGTTAATCTATGAGAATTCAAGGGAGAAAATGTGCTTTTCTCAATACCAGCGGGAGATGGGACTGGGAGAGACCTGGTCCTGTGTATTTGCTAATGGAGAGAACTGGATCAGGTAACACGAGCTGTTGAAAGTAACTGCAGTAAAGTGTTTTCTAGGTGAACTTCTAAGTGAACTTCCACACTGAAAATGTCTCCCTGCTAAAGGAAAGAAGGGGAGAGGAGGACCCTCATAAGTATTCTACTTTAATATAATAAATTGTATAATATATACAAGATAAAACAAAGTTAATGCATAAGCTGGACCTCAGAAAGCCAAAGAACAAACGTAGCTCTGTTAACACCTCTGGAGCTGCAGCAGTACTGAATTCACACCTAACTGCCTTCTAGCATTGGGAATATCCAAGGATGCCTGCAGAAGGATGCAGTGATGCCACCTGGTGTGTGTCCCACCTGGTGTGTGTCCCCATGAGAAAGTTGTGACCGTAATGCTTTACAGAAAATACCGTGGGACTGATTTCCCAGCACGGTACACGAAGCTCCTGGCTCTGATAGTTCACAAGCAGCTACTCAGAGTATTTTTTTAGAGGTGAGACTTCAACAAAATATCAAAATTAAATAATAAATTATTATTAATTTGATTAAATAAATAAAATCTGGAAGTGAAATAGTTAATCACTGCACAGGGTTCTCTTCCTCCCTTTTTAAAATGTGACTTTAATCCTGGTCTAAAATTTCAGTTCCTAGAAAGCAATCTATTTTCTTTCCCTTTAGCTGTGGTCCTGAGCCTTTGTCTAAGGAGCCTCCTTAGTTAAGAGTCAGTCAAGGCTGGGATAAATGGGGTTAATATGATCCTGGGGATGCTAATTATAATTTCTTTCCAGGACTTATGATGGCTTCTACCTGGCAGAAAACTCAGGAATTCTACAACTGGGTTCTTGAAAGTGGAGGTGGGTAGAAATGCTGTTTTAAACAGGAATTTTTGCAGAAGTAGCATGATCAGCAACAAACCCAGAGGGAACACGGTCCTCACAGGAGCCCACATTTATCTCACCTGGCAGATTTCTCTATGATAACAAACTTCCCTTTTAAGTCTTTAATTTGATATTTTACAGTGAGGAGACTGCAAATCTTCAATAGCTAGAGGTTCTGCCAATCCAGTCTGGTCCCAAAGGGCTCTGTTGGGTCCCTGGACGTAAGGAAAAGCCAAAAAATGCCATTAAGGTAGAATGGCAGGTCTGAATGGTGGCTTTGGCAGCAGGAGGACGTGGGGCATGATGCTCAGGCTGTAAATGTTTCAGGATTTGAATTTCAGGAGAGAGTGTAAATTGGGACTCAGGACTTCTGGTAAACTGTTAAATACAGAAATGGGATGTCAAAGAGCTCCTGACACAGAGCCCTTTACAGACATAGAACTGGAAGGTTTAGAATGGATGGGGATCGACAGAGTCGTGTGGACAGATGTAGAATTTAAAACAAGAAATCACCAGTGAGCCAATTACTAAAATTCAGTAGAGGATTTCCACAAGAAACCCGGGGCTAAAACAGTGTGAGGGGTCTGGAGCTTGGGAATGGCAGGTCAGGATGCAAAGGGAGGTGCTGAGGAAGTTTAACAGAGCAGTGGCCACAGTGGGAACAGGAGAGGAAAGCTTGAATGAGAACTGGGATGCTTTTGCAAATAAAGTGTATCTTGCACTTCTGTGGGTGATGAGGCAGGATTAGGAGGATGTGGCATGACAGAAAGTCCATTGAGTTTCCCTTTCCTGTAGGACTGAAGGGCTGTTTTAGCAGAGATGAGAGTTTGAATGTCATTTCCCAGTGCATGGAGGTACAAAAATGAAGGTGTGGGGAATTTCGGATTTCTTGGGGATTGCGTGGCAGAAAGAAAATAATGGGAAAAGCAGGAAAGATTGACACTCCTGGAGAGTTTGGTTTGGTTGGGTCTGTGCATCCCTGCAGGGTGCCTTGGACTGCTTCTCTTGCCCAGGTGTGGGACAGTCTTGTATGCTGTGGGAAGGGGCTCCAGCTCATCACAAAAGGTCTGTCTTCCAGTGCTGCAGCCCCAGCCCCAGTGCTGTGCTAAAGCCTTTTGGCAGAGTCTGGCAGGTGGAGCTCCAGGGCAGGAGAAGGACTGTGGTGCAGCTTTGTAGATATATATACTCGAGATCCCGACTTTCTGTTTGCCAGGGAATGGTGCTGAGGGGAGGTAAATAGAGATACCTGCCCTGCAGGGTGTGGGAGGTGCCAGCTCTGGCTGTGTGCTTTGCTTTCCAGACCCGAGGACAGACCCATGGCCCCTGGTCTACTCTCCCCTTCCAGTCACACTTCTCTTCTCCTCCTACCTCCTGGTCGTGGCTCTGGGGCCCCTCCTGATGCGGCGGCGCAGACCCCTGGAGCTGAGGGGACTGCTGCTGGCCTACAACCTAGCCATGATGGCACTGTCCACCTACATGTTCCACGAGGTGAGGAGGCAGGACTGGCTCCTAGGCGAGCACCTGGGAAGGGTCTGAAGGCCAGAACCGTTTGAAAGGGCTTTTGCTGATGCACTTCAGTGAAGGGAGCAGGAGCTGACTCGGCCGTGTCCGTGTTTTGCCACACGAGGAGCAGTCTTGCCCCACTGTGCCACGTTCCCTCCCGCTTCTCAGTCTTCCTGTCATTCATAAAATGAACACTGAAAGGTTCCTGAATGAATGAGCTGGGAGCTGAGACCTCCCCACTGGACACAGGGTGTATGGAGGGCGTGGAACCTCACTTTGTTTCGTGACTGGCTGGTGAGGGCACTCACCTGTGAGAGACGCTGTTCTCGTGGGAGGTGTCCCTGCCACAACAGGGAGGTTGGATGATCTCTAAGGTCCCTTCCAAGCAATTCTGTGATTTTCCAGGCTTGGGCAGTCCTCTCCAGGAGTGAAGCCAAGCACGCTGTAGCTTCCTGCTTGCTGGGAGTGTTGAGGACATTGTTTTCTGCCGCTTCTTTCCACAAGCCTTTCCCTTGTTTATTTAGGCCACCAAAAACTCTTCAAGGGAACACAGCCAAATAGGTTCCAAAACCATTTTGATGTTGACAAATATTCCCTTTTAGTTTGTATCACAATTTTTACATTAACACAAATTGTTTGTTTGTTTGTTTTCTTTGAGCAAACGCTACTCCACCTGAGGACTAGAATTCACTATTCCTGATGAAGTAATTCTGAGCACTCCAGTGATTACATAAAGCGTTACAAACATGCCCAGGCCAAATGTTCTTTTTGAGATTCCCACAAGAATGTGAAGTACCTTGTTTTAGGTTTTTACTATTTGCTCAGCTCTATAAATTACATGGATTTTCTGTCAGCGAGAATGAGATTAATACTCTTATTACCTTAGCATTAATATGCATATCTTTTTGCCACAGATGGATTTGAACAGAAAATTGATTCCTATTGCTTTTCCTTTGTTTCAGTTTTTGGTAACTTCAGTCCTGGGCAACTACAGCTACCTGTGCCAGCCAGTGGATTACAGCCAGAGTGAACTGGGAATGCGGGTACAGTTCTACAGAAAACTGGAATCAGGCCCTGCCCTCCCATGGGTGTGCAGATCATTTTGCTCATGAAGAGCAATTTGCATGCCTAAGAAGGCTTTTACTCCAATGTATTGCTTGTAAATCTCTATCACTAAATCATCTGCTTTAACTGTTGCGTTTCGCTGTAGTTCTCCAAAATTAATCATCATCAGTCAACAGAGCCATCTAAGTTTGCTCTTTGATCGCTGCAGAGAGGTTGATCTTGCATTCTGAAGATGGATCTTTATTATAGATATTTCAAATTAACTCTGAAGTATGTGTGACTCTTTGCATGGATTGTAAGGATTCTGGGTGATCACTTTCAACAAGAGAACCAATTTTTATATCCTCAACTTTGCGTGACATAAAACTTACTCAACATTTCTTTTAGCACAGGGGTTTGGCTAAAATTATTCCTTGTCCAGTCATCACAGGGGGGAGGTGGGCCACACCAGCTTCAGCTTTCCAAAATGCTGCATGAGGTTTTTTTCAGTTAGAATTTGGAGCTCCTACGCTTCGCTTCCAGATGTAACCAGGCTTTGAATAGATGCAAGCCTGGATATTATCCTTTCAGCTTTTCAGATATTTGCTATCAGAGCAAAACAAAACCAAAATAGCCCAAAAGAACTCCTTAGTTTTTCCTGTTCCCGCGTGGGCAGGGTTCACGTCGCGCACGGTTGAAAATATGTTGATTTTGGGTAAAGGTCTAACCGCAGTGCCTTGTGCTGCCCAGCAGATGGCAAGAGTGTGTTGGTGGTTCTTCTTCTCCAAAGTCATCGAGCTGCTGGATACGGTAAGGAGGGCTCGGCTCCGTGGCGGGATTGGTGCTGGAAATAAATCGCTTCCTTGTCAGAAAGGGGCAGGGTGCCAAAAGTTAATGTCCCCGGCTGATCCTGCATTGATTTGCTCGGCGCTTTTCAGCGAGAGCTGATTTTGCTCTGCCTGTTGGTGGGAGTGAAGGCTGATGCTGTTAAAGGAGAGGGCTCAGCTCCTGCAGGCTGCTTTTTTGACAGTGTTTGGCCTGTGAGAGCCCAGCAGCACGGCTGGGTATTGTGCTCCAAGGCTCCCTCAAGAGCTTCTTTCCAGGAAGGAATTGCTGCTGTCTGATTTGCTTGTCTTTGGGTTTGGGAGACTGAGAATCACCATTAGCTATTTTTATGACCTTTTACTGTGAAATATTTAGTCTAAACACACTGACTCGAGGTTTTCCTTTGTCTGGCTTCTTCCAGGTTTTCTTTATTCTGCGCAAGAAACAGGAGCAGGTGACTTTCCTGCACGTGTACCATCATGGCTCTATGCTGTTCAACTGGTGGTCAGGGGTCAAATATGTGCCTGGAGGACAAGGTATGTCAGAAAACCTAGCATTTCAGGGGTTTTTTGGGGGGCTGTGGAGGTAGCATTAGCTGTGCAGATGGGCTGACTGGCAGGTTGGAAGCTCACCTAGTTCCAAAGGTACAAGAGGCTGGGGTGTTCCTTTTTGGGGAGCCATTTCGGCCACATGGCGTTGACACTGGAATGTCATGGAATGCTTGGGTCAGAAGATAAAAAACTCTCCTCTGCCTTTGAAGCTCTTCTCTGTCTCCAAAGTCTGGATATGGGCTGGATATGTTCGGATGCCCCAACCCTGGCAGTGTTCAAGGCCAAGCTGGACAGGGCTTTGAACAAGCTGGTCTAGTGGAAGGCATCCCTGCTCATGGCAGGGGGCTGGAACTAGGTGGTCTTTAAGGTCATTTCCAATCCAAACCACTCCATGATTCTGTGATTTTATATGCTGAAAGGAAAAGGAAGGAGAGGGCGTGCTTCCAAGACAGAGCCTAGACTGAAGGTTCATTCGTAAGGGGTGATGTGATGCTTTTTGAAAGCATCATCAGGGTGCCCGTGAGCTCTTCACAGGGTTGGTCTTGCGTGGGTTGTGTGTCTCATTCATCCTCATTTCTTCACTCCTCAGCCTTCTTTATTGGGATGCTGAACTCCTTTGTCCACATCTTCATGTATGGCTACTACGCCCTGGCCAGCCTGGGACCACGGATGCACCGTCACCTGTGGTGGAAGCGCTACCTGACCATCATGCAGCTGGTAATTAGTCCCCTGTGTCCATCTCTGCCTTTCCCTGTGCTGGGTGTGATGGCCCCTGCCCCAGTCTTTGTTTGCTGCCCACAAAGTCCTTGGGTGTCCTCGTGTACCACTGTGAATGGTGAACCTGGCTCTGAATTTCAGAAAACTCACAGGAGACCTTCAGTGACCAAATGATGAGCCCTGGCTTTGCAGTGGGAAGGAGAGGGAAAAAAAAGTTAACCCTGTGGATTTTCAGTTAGATTTCTCCCATTTATGTTTCCTCTCTGGAGCCCTGAAAACTCAGCTTGCTTTTGGGAGGTGCGGGGCAGTAACTTGGGGAAACTTTGGATTCTCAGTAGGGCAGGAAAATGGGCAGCCTTCATTCAGTTCCTTCAGAAAGGAAAGGTATGTTTGACTGCAAGCAACAGGCAGGTTGAAGAGACAGTTGAACTCTTTCTGCAGAGAATCCCCTTGGATTTTCTTTCCCTCATCTATGAAGAGGTGATAAATCCTGAAAACCCTGTGTTTTTTTCAAAGGTACACAATAAATGCAATGTTCCAGACAAGAGCAGTGATTGTGGGAGAGTTATTTCCACACAAAGAGAAGTTATGCAAACAACAAGTATGCAAGTACCAGAGAAGAGGAATAGGGTATATATATATATATAGCAGTGTGCAGTAAAGGCTGGTCCAGAGTTCTTACTTATCCTGCAGGGCAAAGCAGACCAAAAAAGCATTGCTAAAAATGAAAAAGTGTTTGTTACGTGAATTATAGCACAGGAAATTAATTTTTATTTAACATCCTTTTTGTAAGGTAGAACTCAGTGCTTCATGGTATTGAGACAGGTCACTTAGTAATATACAAAAAAAAAAACCCAAAAAAAGAGGATTAATGTTTAAATGAATAAAGGCAGTATCTGTAATTCCTCTCTGTAAGCTAAAATGCAAATTGAAATCTTTATGAGCATAATAATCTGATTACCACTGGGGAGGAAACCTCTAGTTTCCATATTCCAGGATCTCTCTGCCCACGGCAGAGGAGTGGCACAAGGGCAGTGATCTGCTCCTTGCAGGAGGGGCTGGATTCCAAACCTGACCCCTGCAGCAGTGGGCAAACCTCGGTGTTTGATGGACACTTGACACCTTTCCGTGTTGGGAAAACGCTGCTGGGTTTGAAAGGCAGGCTTTCCAGGGATGTCAGGAGAGGCAAGCAGGTGATGCTCTGGGTTGAGGGCACTACTAGGATGTTGTGGCAGTTGTGTGGTCAGCTGAGCTACATCTCAGGCAGGCTCCCTAATCTGGCTGCTTCTTTTTCCCCCCTCTTCCAGTGCCAGTTTGTGGCCATTGCTGCCCATTCTTCCTACAACCTCTTCACAGAGTGCCCGTTCCCTGATGGCTTCAACGCTGCGGTCTTCCTCTACATCCTCAGCCTCATGGCTCTCTTCCTACACTTCTACTACAGGACCTACGTTAGGGGGAAGCAGGACAAGCTCACTTAAAGAAAATCTGAAAGAAAATCAAGGAGGACACTGAGCACAGGCTGAGGAACTTGCACGTTCTCTGCTGCTTGTGAGGCGGTTGCAGGAAAAAAATGTGTTGTGGGGAGCGTGTGTGAGGCTCGTGTGCTGCCTTCAAACACCTCAAGGTAGGGAGAGAAAAGGAATGACAAAGGAATGACAAAGCCAGGGATGAAGGTATTGAGGAGCTCGTTTAGTAAGGCTGAGGCAAAGCTAAGCCCAGTAGTCCCCAGCACAGCAGAATTTATGAAATCAGCACAGGAATGTCTTTTTCCCTTCCATCAGTGTCCAAGGTCTGGCGTCCAACCACAACTCCCCTGTCCCGTTTGTTAGGCTGTAGAGGGTTTCTTTGCATTAACAAATCTATCTCAGCTTGCTGCTCTAGATCAGGCAGGGCCACGTGCCTCCAGCCTTGTCCAAGCAGTGTCCAAGTAGCCAGGACCTCACTGGGAATGCAGGATGCACTCAGCTGTCCACTGCATCCCAAAGCTCCTGCTGGGATTGGGGTGAAATACAGCTGGTGCTTACCCTGGTGGTTTAACTTTATGTAAGCACGAGCATGAAGGAAGTTGGGCATTGTGTTGTCTGGCTGGACAAGTGCCTTCACTGTCCTGAAGTGAAAGAAGGCATTTTTAACGCTTTCATCCTGAGGAAGTGCAGTAAGAACTACCATGTACCATTTTCTGGAATGCTTATTTGCCTTTGTTTGCTCTCATAACAACAGAGAACGTTCAATGCATGAAGGCTACTTGGTATTGCTCCTTATAGGTGCCATAATTTTACTAGAAAGAATGGACTGAGGTTTCCTATTCATAACATTTTTCCTCCAATTTTTTAATTATTTTTAATATTTTTTTTTTTAATTTTGCTTCTCAGCAAGCATAAAGAGCTTAACAACACCATAAGCAACCACCTCCACTACCTAATATTTGTATTAATACAAAGTGTATAAAAGTCAATTCATTGCCTAGTGCAAAGCTGCAGAGCTCCACTGACTTCAACATACCCTTTACTGGCTTCTTTTTTGCTCCTAAATCCATTACAGCTAGAATTTTGCCCTTATATTCATCTTCAGACAGTTAAATGCCATTGAAGTGTTGACGTGGCAATGCTTTGAAAAGCCTAAATTCAGATGTTAAACCACGAAGTGGCATTTATTTATTGCACTCTGCTTTGCTGATTGAAACTGGGTACAGAGTAGCGATATTTTCGCAGTTGAAACACAAAGGTCTTGAAGGAGAGGATTAGAATCAGTAAGATGGTGCATTACTATTGCCAAGCCAGATCCACCTGGAATGTAAAGAAATCCAGCTCCACTGGGAACGTCCAGAGGACTGTGAACCACTGTGAACCACAGTGACACACCTTAAACATCATTCCTTTGGTTTGAAGAGTCTTTTTTCTGATTGTCACTGGTGAGTATGGAAAGCAGAGCAGGGCTCATTTTTACATCAGTGTAAGCTGGTTTTCTCCCTGTCAAATATTTCCCCCGTGCTAATTACTAAATAAAGGGTCCTGCTTTTGCGTGCTGGAACTCTGCTTTTGTTAGAATTTTAAGTAGCAAAACTCTGGGTGGGTCCTTCATTCTTTCCTTCGGTTGGAAAGGCAGGAAAAAAAAAAACACACCTGCAGTGTATCTCCCATACTGTGCTCATTTTGAGGGTTTCCCCTGGGGCCTCTGCAGTGCAAGTAAAGCTGTTTCATTACCCCTGTCTACGTAAATACTCCCTTACAACCCTCTGCTGCTTAAACCATCGGTACATTTTGCCCTCTGATTTCATGGTAGAGCATAATTTCCTGCAGCTGGGTGAATTATCTGTGCTTACCAGGCAATCAAATGCTCTTTTTCATATACATGGGGGGATCATGAGTAGGTCCCAACCTCGGCTTCCCCTCACATAAACTTTTCCAGATTGCAGTGGCTACTTCCAAGGGCTTCACTAATAATTTTATACCAGAGTAGGCATCACATGTTTCGATTTTCCTTGATTCATTCATAATTCACAACTGCTTAAAGATTAGAAAAAAAAATTTGAATGAGATTACTCAATGCTTTTGCAAATCCATTCCTTCTTAAAATATGTATGTTTGTAAACATGCCATCTAGTTGGGTTTTTGGTTGTTGGTGGTGGTGGTTTTTTGTTTGTTTGCTTGTTTGTTTTTTTAAAGCAGACTGTGCAGCTTAATTTGTATCTGTGTATGACAGAGCTTCCTGCAATGGATTCTGGAGTGTGACTGGCCACATAGCTGATCACAAAAATACAAAAGTGTGAATTTGTCACCTGACAACTTCAAATAAGTGGCTGGTCACCCAAATCAGACGCCACTGACAATATTTGTCCTAGACATGCAACCTCTGATCTACCCATTGCTGTCCCTCTTCCTCACAGCCTGAATGGGGGGCCTGAACTTGCATTTTTGAATTGGTAAGAGGTTTTTGTCAGTGCCACTTTAACGGTATAGGATTAAGATGAAGTATTTTCAGTTGACTGAGAAGGAGGGATTAAGTTTGCCCAGAAACACCACAGAGGAATAGGCATTGGTGTGGAGTACAAGCCTCACAGAAGCATTGATGCAAGCAAAATTCACTTGTGAGAGCATTTGCACTAGCAGGGCAGATAAAATTGGATTGGTGCTGCAGGTCTTGATGCTTTATTCCTTCAGAGTTCACTTATTTGTCTTCATTCCATTTTAAACTGGGTTACCACAGTTAGAACTGTCCACCTGGGCCATCCTGTCGTAACAAGAGCAAAAACTTGAGAGTACAGGTACGTGCCCCTGGAATTTGACAGGAAATAAAGGCACAGAGTGGGATTTCCCCTCTCAGATCGAGTCCCTGGAGATGAAGATCACCCCCCACAGCAAAGCACTGGAAGTCAAAAGGGCTGGGAGTTGTAAACTGCAAGTTTGGACGGCTCGTGCTCTCTGGCAGAGCCCAAAGCTTCGAGGATGAATTGAAAACATCCTGTGGCAGCTGGATTTGTAAAAAACCTCTGGGCCAAATGCTGATTCCCCCAGTATCAGTCACAAAGCCTGCAGAATTCTCTGGAAAGGAGCTGGCACAGCTGTGTGGGAAACAACACGCTCAGCTCCACGGCCGGGTTTGCTGTGAGCAGCCTGGGGTGCCACTCAAGCTGAACAGATGACATTTAAGGGCACCCCCTCATAAAATGTGGGTCATTGTAGTTCTCAGAGCAGTTTACATGAACAAGATGTGAGGCCTAATGGAAGTAGTCTGTTTAAATGAACAAGCTTGATACCTGCTAGCGCTCAGCATCTTTCCTCCTGTTCCAGTCAATGTAAATTATGGATGTTCTGATCAAATTACCTCTGAATTAACCAGACCATTTATTCAATGCTTACTTTCTGTCTGAAGATAAATGAGAGGGATTCTCATTTTAATCAAAACAAAATACAGAAAAGAAAATCAATTACTATTTAATGCTTTTTCCATCCCCGTGTGATGGAAAGTTTCCAGAGGGAAACTTTCGGGCTTAAAATTTCAAAGCAAAGGCAGGAGCATAGTTGAGTTATAACTATTGGATTTTTATATGTTATCAGAAAATATGGCTCTGTGTGTTTGTTTGTTTTATTTTTAAAAAAGGCCAAAGAATTACTCTAAACAATTAATCAAGCAAAAGCAGAATGCAGCAGATTGCTTCGTACAAAAAAATAAAAGTCTGTTGATAGAGATGTAAAGCACCTACAAGCCAGCAACCCTATATATAGAACAGTGTGAATGTGCTGAATTCATTAATGAATAACTTCATGGATTAGGGCTTGATAGATGGAGTGCTCACATCCAGATGTTTACTGTGATTTTTTTTCAATGGCCTTGTACTTAATCCTCCTGAACAGGAAATACAGAGTCTTTTCCCTGGGGTCTCTCCTGGGGACCGTGGCAGTCTCTCTCTCTGGCCTGAATCGTCTCAACACGGGATCAGGCTGCGAGGAATTATCCAAGTGGCGGGGGCATGGATTTGCCTTTAACCCCTTCGGTGTCTTCTCTGCTTCCCAAGATTTCCTCACCATCTGCCACAATGGCACCGTTATTCAGTCAACACAGGGAGAATTAAAAAAAAAGGAGTCGCCCCTCGAGGCGCGTTTTTGGGGTCCCTGTCTCTTGTGGGGAAACCCAGAGTCCCTCTGCCACAGAGGAGCAGGGGGGCCGTGGGCAGATGGAGCCTCGAGGCCGGTGTGCATCGCTCCACATCTCAGCATTTCGTGTTTATTTTTGTGGCGCTGCTACTCACTGTCAGTCATGGGGCTGGCTTTGGAGGGAGGGTCTGTGAAAAGACTTGGCTGACCCTGAGGTGTCCCCAGCCAGGTGCACCAGAGGGTGTGCAGCGTGTGTGTAGGTGTGTTTGGGTGTGGGTAGGTAGAATCACAGAATGGCCTGGGTTGGAAAGGGACCTTAAAGATCATCTTGTTCCAACCCCCCTGCCATGGGCAGGGACACCTTCCACCAGCCCAGGTTGCTCAGAGCCCCATCCAACCTGGCCTTGGACACTTGCAGGGATGGGGCAGCCACAGCTTCTCTGGGCACGTATTTTTCACGTCCCTGACATGATGGCTCTGCTGGGCATAAGGATGTGATCCTTGTTTTCTCCCCATGGAAATGTTGGTAAGTTGGGTTGTGGATACAGCCTGCCTTTAGGTGAAAGAGAATCTCCAGCTTGGACAGGGTTTCTTCTGCAAAACTTGTATGAACCTCTCCTAGGTGTCAGCTGGTAAAGTCGGGAATCTTAAAAGGATTGGATTTAGGCAACCCCTTGCTGCTGCCTAGCCAGGTGAGTCCCACTTGTCCAGCCTCAGGAGAAAACCTGCAAATGAGGCTGTGGGATAAATCACTGATGGCACCGTGTGGAAAAGAATGGGGGCGAAAAAAAGCGACATCCCAGTCAGGGGACAGGACAGCAGGTGTTAGAACTGGATTAGGAGATCTGAGTGGCAGTGGGAGGTGGAGAGAATGCTGAAATTTGGTGTGGATGTGCTGGAGGGTTAGGGACTGATTTCATGTGTGCATGTGCTTAGGGTAGAAGTACTTCTGGCTAAATCACTGGGGACAAATAAAGTCTTCATCAGGGAGTGCCTGGTTAAAACATTAACAGCACATCTCAGCACTTGATATGTTTCCCCATTCTGCATGTCATCCTTTCTCTCCAGTACCTTGGCTTTTCTGCTGATAGGACTGCTCTTCAACAGAGAGTTTGGGGTGTTTACACCAAACTCAAAAAATGAAGGCTATTAAATAAAACTTGCCCTTTAAAATTCCCTGCTTGGAACAGATGTTTCTTCCCCTTTAGCATCATCCTCCCACTTTCTCCTCACTCTTTTCTCCCCACTTCCTTTGTACCCACATCTGCAGATGCCACACTAGATTCTCAGAACTGGTAAAGCTGCAAAGTAAGTAGTCACAAATTACTCAAATGCTCTACAAGCAGCTGAAATTTCCTGAGATGTCAGTTAATAACATACATTTTCTTCATAGGGTTTTCTGTGAGGCTTTCATCCTGATGAATTTGGGCACTTTAGCATAATCCCATCTGCCTGCAAATTCAGGATGTGAACACTGCAAGACAGTGCTCACAATTTAGACAGGCTAGAAACTTGGTTTGAGGGGAGAATTTAAATTCAGCGTAGTCTCTCCCAGGCATTCCCTATTATTAATGAAGGAGTGACAGAATGGATAGAACCATCTGAGAGGCAGCAAGTTTACCAGCCCTCTGTGCACCTTGTTGTGCTCTGTGTGGTGCCCACCATCACAGATGTCTGGGGAGGTTTCCTCTTGAAATATTATTATTCCTGAGGCAATGTTTGGAGGGAGAATGCCTTGCATTGTAGGAGCTGACAGAGCTGGAAAACCAGATTAATTTTCCAGTGTGGAAGCCCTTCTCTGGTTATAATCCCTGACATGCTTTGACAACAGACCAGCCACTCCTTGTTGGGGTGCACAGGTGTGTCTGTGGCGTGTTTGTATTTAGTGTGGACTTTGCTAGTCCCAGGGGCTGCTGTAATACATTTTGCAGGTTCAGTGCCTTAGTCCATTAAATAGCTTTAAATCACAGGGCCATTCTTTTCAAAGGGGCTGCTCTTTAATCAAACTTACCTGTGAGTTTGCTTCTAGGAATTATTTGTGTGAGTAAAGCGGTCCTTTACATCACTGGCACGGTGGCAGAACAGGTCTGTGATTCTGTGCTCAGTTCTCAGAGGGAAATTACAGAACATGGGCAAATCACCACTTACAGAAACCATCTAATGCAATTATGGTTTTCTATTTTGGCACTGCCTTTAATATCTTTGGGCATATTTCATACACAGAGGCAATGTTTTAAATTAAGGGTAAACCACTGTGCAGGGTGAATCTATGTAAACTGCTTGATGGAGTTATGAATATTGCCGTAAGGATTCAGGAAAAATGCCACTGCAGCGATGCCAAATGGAAAGCAAAGTGGTTTTTCACTTAATTTAGTATTTACACTCAATTTCGTCAGAAACCCAGAAACTCCACAAGAGTGGAGTGGTGTACATGGATATAGCTACTCATCCTACAGTATTTATATACATATTTAGTATATTCACCTGTAGACCTTGAGTAGAATGGATGATTTCACGCTTTGAATATAAAAAGTGAGTTCTTTACTTGTATTGCAATACTGAGCTGTAACTGAATTCGTTGTGCAAAGCTGCTTCGATTCCTTTTCTCTAATAAAATGTGCATTTACAGAAATGTTTCAGACTTGGATGTTGGTTTAAGAATGCATCTGAGGGAAAGAATACCCCCCTTTGCAAATGCTCACGTGAAGGTAGAAATGCTGCCTGCTGGCTTGGGAAGCACCTTTTGGAGCTGCACTAATTCCATGAGAAACCGGGGGGAGGAGGAGAGTGGGAGAGCAACCGCAGAGCTAAATAAAAATACCCAATGCCTTCCTTTGTTCTCACTCCACTGGGAAAAGCGCGGGGGGGTGGTGGTGGGGGGGGTGATACACGCCAAGAGGCGCCAGGAATCCCTCGGGCTGTCGGTTCTGATTTTCATTAGAGGTGAGTGGGGGTTTGCAGCTGCGCGCAATCCCTTTACCGAGCAAATCCACGCGTGGGGGGCCGCTCCGTAATCCCCAGGCGCGGCGGGGGCGAGGGCTGGGGAAGCGGGAGGGAGACCCGGGGGGGGTGAAGGGCGAGCTCAGCCCCCCCCCACCAAATCCTCCCCGGGCACAGGTACCCGCCGCGCCCGCCTCCCCGCATCCCCGGAGCGCTCCCCGCGCCGCCAAACCTGCGGGCATCCCCTCGGCACCTGCGGGCATCCCACGGCCGGGACCCGCTCCCAGAGCGCATCCGCGCCCCGACGCGCATCCCTTTTGGCGGGGCGGGGCGGGGCGGGGCGTGGTGGGATGGGATGGGGTGGGATGGGATGCGCGGCATCCCGGTCGTCCCCGGGGGATGCTGGCGCTGCCTGCGCGGGGGAGCGGAGCAGGAGGGATCCTCTTTGACGTCAAGCGCCCATAATATAATGATCGCTCGTTCATATCCGGGTCCCCGGGCGGCTCCCCCGGGCCGCGCTCGGCCGCGCTCGGCCGCGCAGTGAGGGGAGGCGGGTCGGGCAGGGCAGGGCAAGGCAGGGCAGGGCAGGGCAGGGCAGGGCAGGGCAGGGCAGGGCAGGGCAGCGCGGCCGCCCGGAGGTGCCCGGCGGCGGCGGCGGCGGCGGGGCCGGCGAGCGCAGCATGCCCGCCGCCTCAGACGCGCCTGCCTCCCGCCGCTGCCGCTGCTGGCGCTGCCGCTGCTGCCCATGGAGATCGCGCTGGTGACTCTGGAGAACGGCGGCACCACGGCCATCGCGGGCGGCGAGGATGCCGCGGCCGCCGGCGGCCGGGCGCGCTGGCGGGGCAACTTGCTGCACATCGCGGGCTCGCCGCAGCTGAGCGACGGCAAGGAGGGAGCCCCGCCGCCAGCGCCGCCGCCGATGCCTCCGCCGCCGGGGGACGAGGAGCCCGAGCGGCCCCCGCCGGGGGACGAGGAGCCCGAGCGGCCCCCGCCGGGTCCCCGCGGGGGCGGCCCCGAGGAGCGGCCGGCGGACAGACGAGCCCCCCCGCACCGCCACGGCCGCCGCCCCGCGCCCCGCGCCCCGGCACGGACGTGGGACCCTCGGAGGAAGGGGGACACCGCCGGGGCATGGCCATGGCGGCGGCGGGGGACGAGGAGGACGAGGCGGCGGCGGCGGCCGCGGTGAACCCGGGCTCCATGCACCACCAGCGGGTGCTGATCAACATCTCCGGGCTGCGCTTCGAGACCCAGCTGGGCACCCTCAACCAGTTCCCCGACACGCTGCTGGGGGACCCGGACAAGCGCATCCGCTACTTCGACCCGCTCCGCAACGAGTACTTCTTCGACCGCAACCGGCCCAGCTTCGACGGCATCCTCTACTTCTACCAGTCCGGGGGAAAGCTCCGCCGGCCCGTCAATGTCTCCATCGACGTCTTCGCCGACGAGATCCGCTTCTACCAGCTGGGCGAGGAGGCCATGGAGCGCTTCCGGGAGGACGAGGGCTTCATCAAAGAGGAGGAGAAGCCCCTGCCCCGCAATGAGTTCCAGCGCCAGGTCTGGCTCATCTTTGAATACCCCGAGAGCTCCAGCTCAGCCCGTGCCATCGCCATTGTCTCCGTGCTGGTCATCCTCATCTCCATCATCACCTTCTGCCTGGAGACCCTGCCCGAGTTCAGGGACGAGAGGGAGCTGCCTGTGCCCCTGCCCCCACAGGGTGGAGGTTTGAATGGCACCGCCGGGGACTCCCCGGCCATGCAGCCCCCCAGCAGCCTGGCTGACCCCTTCTTCATCATCGAGACCACCTGCGTGATCTGGTTCACCTTTGAGCTCCTCGTGCGCTTCTTCGCCTGCCCCAGCAAGCCCGAGTTCTCCCGCAACATCATGAACATCATCGACATCGTGGCCATCATCCCCTACTTCATCACCCTGGGCACCGAGCTGGCCCACGAGCAGCAGCAGCCCGGGGCTGGCAGCAGCAATGGGGGAGGGGGCCAGCAGCAAGCCATGTCCCTGGCCATCCTCAGAGTCATCCGCCTGGTCAGAGTCTTCAGGATCTTCAAGCTCTCCAGGCACTCCAAGGGGCTGCAGATCCTGGGACAGACTTTGAAAGCCAGCATGAGGGAGCTGGGCCTCCTCATCTTCTTCCTCTTCATCGGGGTGATCCTCTTCTCCAGCGCTGTCTACTTTGCTGAGGCCGATGACCCCGAGTCTCATTTCTCCAGCATCCCTGATGCTTTCTGGTGGGCAGTGGTGACCATGACCACCGTGGGCTACGGGGACATGAGACCTGTCACTGTGGGGGGCAAGATTGTGGGCTCCTTGTGTGCCATTGCAGGTGTGCTCACCATCGCCCTCCCCGTCCCTGTCATCGTGTCCAACTTCAACTACTTCTACCACCGGGAGACCGATCACGAGGAGCAGTCCATCCTCAAGGACGAACACAGCAGTGCTCAGGGCAGCACAGCCGGGGCAGATGCGAAGAGAAGAGCCAGTACAAACTCTCTGAGTAAATCTGTTGTGCACTTGGAAAACAGCGAGGAGTTCAACAACGGCACCAGCTCCATAGAAAAAGCCACCATCAAAGCGAAAAGCAATGTAGATCTCAGAAAATCCCTCTACGCTCTCTGCCTGGACACCAACAGGGAAACAGACCTGTAAGGAGAGGAGAGGGTTAGAGTTCAGAGATGCAGAAGGATTTTCTGGTGTCAGAAACTTGCTACTATAATTATTCTTTCAGTACCAGTTAGTTTTTTAAGTCAGGCTGTATTTTATAAATTGATCACTGTCCTGAGCAGTCCTCCAGGAGTACATGTTTTTATGTTCCTTTTTCCATGACACAAAGGGTCACCTATTTTTAAAATAGACTAAGAATAAGCTACGCTCCATGATGCAGGAGCTGGTAAATTATGACAGTGAAAAATCTAATTTGTAGCAACTTATTTTAGCAAATGGTGGTTGGTTTTAAATGGGTAATTTGTAACCAATTCAGTTGCTCCAAGTTTAGTATTAAAGAGTTGGGGGGGATGTGTGTGTGGAGAATGAATGGACTGGGGGGGGAGGGAGGTTGAGGGCTTTTGTACTGTAGTTTCAAATTCAAATAATTCCAATATATTTTATATCTGTATGAGTGTATTTATGGTTGAGAGGGGATTTCTTATTCCTGTGAAATATGACATCATTAAAGCACTAGGAACATTAGCAGATCAGCACTTTCAGAGTTTTCCACTTGTGATCAGTACAGATCTGGTTATCCTGTATGTGAAGTGAATTTGGTGCTTTGAACCCTAGAGCAGAACACTTCTGTCGTCATTGATATGTTAGTTTCTTGTGAGCCTTAAATTATTAAATATTGTAGATATACTTCTTTATAAATAATTTTATTAATTACCTTCCTGTTTCAGAATTTCTAAATAATCCAGTCATGTGCTTACTGTCCCCACTCTGAAAAGTATGTGCAGCTTTTTTTTTTTTTTTGTAGTTTTACAGGTTTATACCTTTGTTACATTTTTGAGACTGAAAGTATCTTTTCTGTCTGCTGTTACTGGTTTCGATCCAAGTGCACAACAGATCAAAAGCATGAGGGAGTGGACAGACATGACAAGAAAGTAGAATATCAGTGCAATATCTGCAAAACTGTTTTTGTTGTACGCTCCAGATCACCTTGGCACGTGTATCGGTCACCTCTATGTACCCACACACCGTCTGTGTACACAGTTCACTGGTTTTAGTTATCACAGACTGGGAATGGAATGGATGGCACCTGAGGAGTCTAACACGGCGTGCCGGGCTGCTTCAATAACCATTGCGTGGCTTTTATCTCAGACTGGGATGGAAAGCGTCATCTTTCATCAGAACACATCCTCCTTTGCTCTCTATTTCCAAACAAAACCTTCTCAGCGCTGTGGATTTTACAGTTCAGACGATGCTGAAGGGCGAGTGACACGTTCATTGTCTCCATCAGCGTGGTACAGTTTGCTGGTGAAGACTGACACAGAGCTGTGTTACCTTTTCTCTTGCGAAGGACACCTCTGTTTCCCCCTCAGACTCCTGTTTTATTGCTGAAGGATGTTCCATGCCTCTCCCACACACAGTGGCACAGCAAGACTAGAAGACAGAGGAGGCTTGGTTGTCAACTCTGCAGGTTTGTTTTCTGGCAAATTTTTCTCATCATAAGTAAGCAAATCTCGGTGGGGATTATAATTTATGCAAGTACCTCAGATATATGTTCTGCCATAAATTTGAATCAGCTTTGCAGAGCAGCGCTCTGACATTCTCTCAGCCAGACACAAATGCTGCTTCCCTGCCCCCTTACTGTGCCCCCTGATGATAATGCCCAAATGCATCACGTTTTTTCCCTTCCTATTCAGTGAAATAAGTGCCAAGCAAGTCGTATTTTTCGTGAACACAGAGCTCAGCCCTAACCCCTGGGGTGAGGGGAAGGTCGTTGAAACTGGTAATAGGGAACAGCATCTTTCACGTTGATTTTAGGTGTAGGTTTCTTGTTTGTTTGTTTATTTAGGTGGGAAGCGATGCCATAATATGCTGAGAAGCTGCAACAAGACTGACAGGCAGAGTGCCCCGTGCAGCTGCACTCCACAGGCAGAGCTCCTGTTTGCTTTGGTGGGAGTTTTTGCAGCAAGGGGAAGTGCAGAATCAGCCCTTTGGGGAGGCTGAATCTAAGATGAAACAAAG